TATATATATATATATATATATATATAATATTAATAATAATGGTCTCTCCCGTCGGTTTCGACGTATGAGGATCTCCCAGCTTATTGATTCAGTTATGAAAGTTTATGCGATAATCTTAAGGGGCAGTTAAGACACGCTAGTGATTAACAAAGGAGGCCACATATGGAGCAGGTGTGAGAAGTGTGAGATGAGATCACTGTTAGATTAGCTGACCTTTTAGATCTTGCTCTCGCTTCTTGAAGGTGATTCAGACAAGCAGATTGAAAATTGCTGAGTCCACTAAAAGACGTTGATCTCCATTCTACCCGCTCCAAAGCTAAGCGCTCAAAGGTGTTATGTGGTATATTAACTGCTGACAAGTTGCTTTTCAGCTTGTCTTTGTATCTTAGCCATGAGCGTCCTACATTCCTGTAGCCCTGATCTAACTGGCTGTACATTTGGATCTTGGGTATCCTGTCATCAGACATTATATATATATATATATATATATATATATATATATATATATATATATAATATAATAAAATAGGCAGCATATATTTTATATTACAAAGAGTTAATCATACTTTGAATCAAGATAATTGATCCAAGGTATGATTAACTCTTTGTTATATATATATATATATATATATATATATATATATATATAAAATATATGGTGAATTTCAATTTATATTACAATGAATCATTCAAACACAAGTAAATTAGCAAAGTTAATGATATAAGATGCCGAAATCTCTTCGCTAACTAAATTTTAAAGATGCATTAACTCACTAATCATTCAATGAATGTTATGATCTTTATTTTTTAAATTATATACTGTATTATGTCTTCCTTAAATACGCAAGTACTTTTGACGGTTCCTCCTGTCATCTTCAGGCATGGAAACTATTTTGTTTTTTTTGTTAAATTCAGGTAGCATCCGAGACGAAAAAATATAATGCGAATCGAAATATGTTTTTTTTTATTTTCATATTTATTTAAAATGTGATTTTGATAACGGATACAAACTTTTGGAGCGTGCAGTCGCAACGCTAAGGTTGAATTTTTAAAAATTTAAGTTAGTGCGTTTTTTTTACTAATATGGCAATTTGAGAATTTTTTTTGTTGTAGGATTTTATCAGTCAATGTGGCATGAACTAAATTGTTCAATAAATAGAGTAATGTCTCAGTTGTTATCCCGAAAATATGCCCTTCGGATCTGTTAAAGGAAATATGTCGTGCAGTTTAACTTTTATTACAATGAATCATTCATATAAAAAGTAAAAATAAAGTAAAAAGTAAAGTTTAAAAAAACATTTCGATTTAAAAAAAAAGAAAAAAAGGATCATAACATTCATCGAGTGATTACTGGATTAATGCATCTTTAAAATTTAATTTTATATCATTAACTTTACTAATTTACTTCCAAAGAATAAATCAATAATGTTAATGTAATTACTGGCGATTTTACTTTGCTAACACATTAAATAAGGCATTAACTCACTGTTCACTCGCTGAACGACACGATCCTTGTTTTTATTAATTGTAAAATGGCTTAAATGTTCAATCCATATTGCAAGTACTTTCGGTAAACATTTACCATCCTCAGGCATAGATGTTATTTCTTTCTCAATTTCATGTAATTTGGAGTAAAATTCCAAGGCGAAAATTAATGTGATACTTGTCGAAAGATGATTTATTACAAAGTTTGTTATTATTTACAGTTAAGCATGTAATAATAGTAGACATATAGATATGTAAGATAGATTCAGAAAAGAAAAATTGGTTCCATCAAATGTGAGAATGCCAGAATTAATATACAGTAGTATAAATATACACAAAACACAATCAGTGAAAACAAATGTAGCAACATTCAAAAGTCCTCAGAAAAAAAATGATATAAAATAAAAATATATGTGAACTTTGGCAAAATTTACTGATAACACAAAACACTTAGGAAATTTGAAAAATTAAAAAAAATAAGTGATAGACATATTATTTAACCAAACTGTTTGAGAGAATTATTGCTGCTTTTTCTTTTCTGAATCTATCTTACATATCTATATGTCTACTATTATTACATGCTTTGAATATTGCTGCCAAATATGGTCTGATGCTTTTGTCATATATTTAGCGATTCTTGATAAAATCCAAAGACAAATCGGTAATATTATTGCTCCTGATCTGTCACATTCCCACCATCATAAAGTTGCTTCCCTGTGCCTTTTCTATAAATACTTTCATCATAATTGTTTGGACAAGATCTTTGCTATGGTACCTAGACTTTCTGAATTTAAGTGCAGTACTAGATTAGCAACAAGGTCTCATCAATTTATAGTTGAATTAGCTAAATGTAACCGTAAGTTCTAAAATAAAAAGAAAGAACAGTAAGATATAAAATCCGGTGTTCTTATAGATATTTTTATTTTTACAAAATAGTGCTCAATGTAAATTTACAGAGCATTAATATTATAAATTAATTGATTTAAAATATGTTTTTTCGAAACACAGTTCCAACCATGTTTCAAAAATAGAAAAAAAAACCCTGAATTTAATTTTGAAAATATATATATATATATATATATATATATATATATATATATATATATGAAATACCAACAATATCCATTTTCGTAGAATTATCAACAATATATCTTCTGTATTGAAGGCATACAATTGCGTTCAAAATATTTAGATTTCAGCATTAAATAATCTATAGAAGTTTAGATGCAGCTAAAGAAAATTAACCGAACACCCATCTATTTGAAATGACATTAATCCATATAATACCCTACAGTTTCTTAAAGAAATTAAATTTTATTCCAAAATATAACCTCAACAAAACTACAACATAAAACACACATATCACTGCCTCTAAGAATTATGACCACAAAAAGAGGTATATGCATAAAAGCTGAGTATCATCTACCATGTATTAAATTGTAAATGCAGAATAATATATTTTTAATAGTTCAAAGGTTCGAAGAATATTAAATTTTGGCATTAAATAATCCATAAAGATTTGATATACCTTTAAACATATCAATCCATCCTTCAGCTCTGATAACTAGAATGATGATCTACTATAATCATAACTAGAACATAAATATCGATGCATTCTATTCTTCATTAGGCCTTTTACTAGATTAAGTCATTCTTCAAAATAAATAAAGCGCAGTGTACGTGTGTCCGTCCGTTCGTTCGTTTTTTGATCACGTCGAATCATAAACAACCTGGAGTAACTACTGTAGTTACACGCGATTAAAAATTAAATAAATAACTCATTTAAAGTTAAATTTAAATATCGAACAGAGTGAAAGGTTTTTTTAAAAAATAACTCTTTATTAAAGGTTTAACTTTAATTTCGCTTTTCATCGCAATTTCAACTGATACCGTCTCATTAAACTGCAGTCAAAACTTAAGCGTTTTTTTTTCTTTTTCTTGCACGTGTGATGTGACATATTCGAAATACTACATATCCGGGTTCTCTAATGGCTTTTAAGAGTGAATTTATGTGAAGGGATCATAAAAAAATAGTGATTTTAAAAGAAAATGAAAATTGCACGCCAAATAATAGTAAAGAAACTACGGAGATCGATTACGTATACGAAGAAAAATTATGCCGAATTAAGGTATCGAATAAAGATAAAATAATTTTATTATTTCTAAATTCTTATAACATTTACGTGCATAGGACGCTGAATGGAAAAAGGCCAAAAGCCCAAAAGCTCTCCGCAAGAGAAGGGGGTGACTAAATACCGTTAGATTAAGTCATTCTTCAAAATAAATAAAGCGCAGTGTACGTGTGTCCGTCCGTTCGTTCGTTTGCTACTACTAGCCAAAAGGCGGCTTCTAGGCTAGTAGTAAATACGTATGGAAAATAAACACAAGCGATTGCTTAGTTTGAAAGAATATGAGAGAGTGAGTGAGAGAGAGAGAGAGAGAGAGAGAAACTACCCAGGAGAGAGAACAATAAAAAAACAGAAATTAAGAAGAGAGAATTTAACGAGTGATAGTGAACTGAAAGAAAGTTCCACAAGCGCGACGTGCAAGAGAAGAAACTGTTAGCATAGAACTTATGGTTACATCTATTAATTTCCACTATAAAATTAGGAGACCTAACTGCCAATCGAGTACTGTGCTTAATTTCATAAATTCCATGTACCAAAGAACAACTGACATGAAAATATTTATAGAAAAGACACAGACAACCTACATTACAGATACGGAGAACTGTCTGGAACCGCGTGACCAGGTCCGTATAAAAAAAAAAAAAAAAAAACGGGACTCTATAAGGGTTCAAACTAATGCGGAATTACAATTTTCGGATATTACTTTTAATTCCCCCCTCCCCACACACATACACCTGAATTTCCTCATCGTTTTCCTGACTTCTTTGCTTTTCACTCACACCACCACTCACATGCTGAATATTCCCTATACTCACATATTCTTTTTTCTTACACAGCAAAACTATTGAAAACATTTATTACCAGAAACTATTACAGCCTTATTGCTTTCAGTGAACTTTGGAATAATTGATAGTTAAAGAGAGACAACTCTTGTTTGACTCAATGCATGCTTTTCTTTCACATCCTTCTTTATACATCTTGTTAAATACAAATTTTATGTTTAATGATGTCTTTGATTTATCCTCTTTTTTTTCACGTCAGTTTGGTTTCCTAATCTAAGTTAAATAAATGTGGTGAAGTCCGTCACAATATCATTTACATTCGTAAGTTCGAAAGGCGAAGAAATAAAAAAACAAATTAAAGTATTTTAAAAAAAATGTTTTAAATTATTTGAATTTAAATTTGTATTCAAAAATTAAACAAAATATCAAGGGTGGGTAACTCTTAAATTTGACAAAAATATAGTAATATTATGCATATTAAGAACACGAACAGCTTCTGGTTTATTCCTCATAACCTAATTTTTGTTGCCTTTCGTTTTCTTTGTTCCAAACTTGATCGGTTCCAGTATCAACTGAAAGAATGTGACTTCGTTTCTAAGTTTCTTTAGTCGGTTCTTTTCGTAGCACACGGATGGGCGAAGGTGAAAATTTGGCACCGTACGTGTCTCTGTTTCAAATTGGTAACGGTCTGTTGGGGCCGGGAGCGGGAGGTGGTTGCGGAGAGCGTGGATTTATTGACAAAGATAGAACTGAAGAAACGATAGAAGAGAAATCTCCATTTAGATAACAAAAAAAAGAAAAGAAAAGAAAAGAAAATATCAATAATCAACTTGACTCTCAATTTCATCTCTTAATTGTTTGACTCTACTTGTCTTTGTCATTTCGAAGTTATAAAGCGAATCACTGAGATGATGCTGTGTGCCGAATCTGTCTGCAACTGAACCGAAAGGTTAGCAAATCGTTTATAATGTAATGAACGAAAATGGGTGAAAAAAAAATGGAAGGAAACGCAGAAAAAAAACTGTAGATTATTTGAACTGATATCCGCAACTTGCAAGGGCGGATTTTCTTTTTAAATGAATCTGTTTTTTATTGATGATTTTAAGATGACAATTTTGACTTGAATTTTCTAATAGAAATTACTATTATGGCACATTTAAATGGACCGATGGATTGAAGGAGAGAAATAGGAAGGAGGAGGGTAAATAAACAATAATAGAAAACAGCATAAAGAAAGAAAGAAAGAAAGAAAGAATGAATGAATGAAAAAGAAAGAAAGAAAAAAAAGAAAGAGAAAGAGCAAAAAGAAATAAAAAGGAAAGAGCTAAAGAAAGAGCGAAAAAAGAAAGAAAGAAAGAAAGAGAGAGAGGGAAAGAAGGAGAGAAAGAAAGGAAGGAGAAAAAAAGAAAGAAAAAAGAGGAAAATAAGAAAGAAAAAAGAAAGAAAGAAGGAGTGAAAGAGCGAAAGGAAGTGAAAAAGAAAAAAGAAAAAAAAGAAGAAAAAGAGGAAGAGCGAAAAACTGAATCTAAAAGGGTAAAAGAAAGAAAGAAAAAGAAATATAGAAAGCGAGAAACAGTGAAAAAGAGACAAAGAAAGAAAGAAAGAAAGAAGGAAAGAGCAAAGAGAAAGAAAGAAAGAAAGAAAAAGGAAAAAAGGAGATAGAAAAAACGAATAGAAGAACGAAAAGAAAGTTACGTTGAAAGGAAAAGAGAAAGAAAGAAAAAAAGAAAAAGAAAGAGAGAAACAGCGAAAGAAAGAAATAAAGAGACAGAAAGAGAGAAAGAGCGAAAGGAAGAGAGAAAGAAAAAAGAGCGAAAACCCGAATGAAAAATTGTAGAAGAAAGAAAGAAAATAAGAAATGAAAGCGAGAAAGAGCGTAAAAAGAGAGAAAGAAAGAAAAACTGAATGAAAAATGTAAAAAAGAAAGACAGAAAGAGCAAAATAAAGAGAGAAAGAAAAAAAGAAAGAGAGAAAGAAAGAGTGAAAAAGAGAAAAAAAGAAAGGAAAAAGTAAGAGAGAAAAGGCAAAAGAAAGAGGGGAAGAAAGAAAAAAGAAAGAAAACCCTGTTCGTTTATTGTCCTTTCCTCAATCATCAACACTAAAGTATTCTCATTCACTTTCACTCCCCTTCCCTATATTATCGCCTTGCTTGCGGTGAAACGTTTAAAAGAAAAGAAAGAAAGAAAGAAAGAAAGAAAGAAAGAAAGAAAGAAAGATAAAAGAAATAAATGAAAATGAATGAAGGAAAAAAAAGAAAACGGAACGAAATAAGAAAGAAACAAACAAACAAAGAAAGAAAAGACAAATGACATAATCCGTGTAGATAAAAAAAGAAAGAAACGGAATGAAATAAAACTAAAAGAAGCAAGATTAAAAGAAAGAAAGAAAGAAAGAAAGAAAGAAAGAAAGAAAAGACAAATGACATAATCCGTGTAGATAAAAAAAGAAAGAAACGGAATGAAATAAAACTAAAAGAAGCAAGATTATAAGAAAGAAAGAAAGAAAGAAAGAAAGAAAAGACAAATGACATAATCCGTGTAAATAAAAAAGAAAGAAATGAAATGAAATGAGACTAAAAGGAGCAAGATAAAGAAAGAAAGAAAGAAAGAAAGAAAGAAAAGAAAGAAAGAAAGAAAAAGACAAATGACATAATCCCTGTAGATAAAAAAAGAAAGAAAGGGAATGAAATAAGACTAAAAGGAGCAAGATAAAAAAAAGAAGAAAGAAAGAAAGAAAGAAAAGACAAATGACATAATCCGTATAGATAAAAAAAGAAAGAAACGGAATGAAATAAGACTAAAAGGAGCAAGATAAAAGAAAGAATGAAAGAAAGAAAGAGAGAAAGAAAGAAAAGACAAATGACACAATCCGTGTAGATAAAAAAAGAAACGGAATGAAATAAGATTAAAGACGCAAGATAAATGAAAGAAAGAAAGAAAGAAACAATGAAAAGACAAATGACATTATCCGTATAGATAAAAAGAGAAAGAAACGGAAAGAAATAAGACTAAAATGAGCAAGATGAAAGAAAGAAAGAAAAAAAGAAAGAAAGAAAGAGAGAAAGAAAGAAAGAAATAAAAGACAAATGACATAATCCGTGTAGATAAAAAAGAAAGAAAGGGAATGAAATAAGACTAAAAGAAGCGAGAAAAAAGAAAGAAAGAAGTAACCAAAATAAACAAACAGAAAAATAATATAAAAGAAAGAGAAAGATGAAAATAAAGAAAGTATCAAGAAAAGAATGAAATAAAAAAGAAGCAAATTTGAAGAAAGAAACAAAGAAAGAAAGAAATAAGCAATATACAGAAATCGAAAGAAACTGCGGAAACTGAGACATAAGAATAAAAAGAGATAAAAAGGAATGAAAACTAGAAGAGAAAAATTCGTTTAAATATATTATAGCACATGAGATTTTTTTTTCTTTTTTTGTTGTTGTTTCTAGGGGGGGGGGCTTTTCACGGGCTTTATTTTTCTTAAAAGCGTTTCTTTTTTTTTCCGAAATAAATGTTTGAAGTTTGATTGAAAAGATCTGTAACGAGAAAGGCGAAGTTCCAGAAGAAAGGTCTTGAAAGATTTGCAGTCAGAGCGGAGTTTTATTAAAAAAAAAAAAAAATTTTAAAGTAAAAAGGTCGCCGTTCGCGGCGTATTACGAAATCGATAATTGAAAGACAAAGAGTCACTGGCGCATCAATGCCAAGGACAATGCAGCGAAAAGAAATGGTCGTCTAGTGTCACCAACAGTAAACAAGTTTGAAATACCTACTTAGCAAGTATCATTATTTTTAAGATGGTGATTTCAATGCTGGAGCTTGCGTTCTAACAAGTCTTGATAATGGCTACTTATGCTATAACCATACTTGTAAAATTCGAATCCTTAATCTGATGTTGTGATCTTAAACAAGGAAAAAGGTTATCTCACTTATTTTAATCAGTATCTATCCATGCAAAACAGTAATACAAGACGTTACAAGGTGTGGAAGAATTAGAAACATTTATAAATAACAGGAAGAGGAAAGATTAAACAGGACAGTAGATAGAGATTGATATTGCATTTAAATTTTTGTAGATTAAAGTTGGCTGGTAAGCATGGAGCTGGAAGGGAGTTCCACAAGCAAGAAGTGCGAGAGAAGAAGCTGTTAACGTAGAATCTACGGTTACAACTAACCAGCTCAGCTGTAAATCATTGAGCTGTCGACGTCACTCTAGTACTGCACTTAAATTCAAAATGTCTAGGCAACATGGCGAATAGCTCAACTGAACAGTTGACATAAAGTTATTCTTTACCAGAAAATGTTTTTAAATATATAAAAAAGATCATGTCTATTTTATTGTTTCTTCAAAACTTCTATTAAATGGTGTGACACCAACAATTAACGTTATATATATATATATATATATATATACACACACACACACACACACACACACACATATATATATATATGTGTGTCGAGAAAAGAAAGCTAAAGGGAAAAAATCTGCCACTGATGCCAAATCAATCGGGTTTCACTCCTGGCTTGAGACAATCGGATGTCTAGCTACACTGATGAGCTGTGATACAGCGAAACAGTCGGTCTTTGCATGACTATATATATATATATATATATATATATATATATATATCGAAATATATATATATATATATATATATATATATAAAGATAAAACTAATATATATAGTCTAGTGTTCTTACTGCTATTTTTATTTTTAGAAAATAGTGCTCAATGTAAATTTACAGAGCATTAATATTATAAATTAACTGATTTATAATATATATTTACCCACGATTACCTGTAGAACCACATTTCCACCTACAAAAATATTATTTAAAATCCATGCCATATGCATTATAATTGAAAAAATAGAAATAGACAGAAAAGATGACCTTAGAAAAATACTAGAGAAATATGAAAACAAATGGATTTTGCGCCTCAAAACACTTCGTCTGGACGGGCTTAACCACTAATGTAACAACAGAGATAGAATTAATATATAACCCCATAAATCAAGCCCCACCCATATTTCTCACCCACACAAGGCAGACATGTTGGCGAAGGTGTTGAAGTCTCACACTTATACACACAGCCATACTAATCTATAGAATTACACACATCATACACACTCCCAAAGATCAAATGATAAAATACACTTAACTTCTCAGCAACCAATAAAACTGTCAAAATGAGCAAGGGAATTCTGAGTTGCATGAATCTCCACAGACCTTATCTTAAAAACAACTTAAAAGAAGCCGGTTTATTGACTAAAATTAACGATATAAAACAAATGACAACTACAGATAAAGTTCATTTTCTTCAGAAAGACTTTCATTCCTGTAAGTCACTACTACTAACAAGCAGAATTTTTTTTTCTCCTGATGATGGCCATGCTGGCTGAAACTAGTCCAGGAACCTAATTGAAATAATAACCCCCACCACCAAAAAAAATATTAATATTCAACCCAATGTGTCTGAAAATTTTAATTTTTCAATATATGTTTATTGTTGAAAACACAGCCACACACACTCACACACACACACACACACACACACACACACACACACACATATATATATATATATATATATATATATATATATATATAT